TTCTGACGCCTAGCCCCGCAGCACTGCGCTCGGTTGCTTCCGACCCATCCTTTTCGTGTGACAGCACATGCAATATCTTACGGCTTTTTCCTGGTTGGGTCCTCGAAGGACGAGCACGTAGGCATCGGCTTATGAAAGTCTTCGGTTAGCCATTCTGCATAAACTGGTCGCGGAGATATCGGGCCTCCGGTGCTTCTATCTCCGGATGACAGCAGTGAGCCTGGATTCGTTTGAACAGCGTTCTCACGCAGCTTCGTTTGTGGGCCACCAGATGGTTGCTGTGAAAATGGAGAAGCTGTGTTATGTTCGTCGCCTTCCTGTAGACCGTTGCCTCGATTTCGCTTTTGGCAGTTCGCATGAAGAGTACATCAAGGAAGGGTAGCTGCTGATACTTTTCTTCTTTCCTCGTGAAATGTATATTCGGGAAGATTGCGTTAAGAAGATCATGAGAAGTCTGCAGCATGTTCCTTTTGACGATAGCAAACTTGTCGTCCAAGTAGCTGCGCCAAAAGATCGGGGGCTGTTGGCTGAAGGCAATCTTTTCCAGCTGTTTTACGACCAATTGTGCTGTTAAACCTGAGATTGGAAAGCCCACCGGAGTTCCTTTGATCTGTTCATAAGCCGCTCCTGCAAAAGTGAAGTATGTCTTTCGCAAGCGTCGAACAGCCTCATGAGTTGTTAAATTTTGAGTGAGCTCTATGTTTCGTCGTACAGCTCCTCGACCTTCCTGCGCAAGACGTCTCGTGCCAAACCCGGTGAAGTGGATGTAAATAATGCTGTCATGTCAAAGAAAACCAGCATTTGGTCCGATTGAATCCTTCGGACATAGAGGTCCGTCAGGAATTTGGAGGCTGAGCGGACTGAGACATCAGGTATGTCTTGGAGGAAGTTTAGTTTCGAGTACATCTATTTTGCCAAATTATAGTTGAAGCGGCCTTTGCGAGCAACGATTGGCCACAATGGAACGTACGGTTTATGGATCTTTGGCAGGCCATAGAAGTGAGCCGGGGCAGTATCTGTCGGTTTCATTAGGTGCCGTTCGTTGTCAGTGATCACATTCCGGCGTTTGAATTCTCCAAGTATTCATTTAACTGATTTGATACTTCTGAGTTTGTGCTGGTCTGTAGAATTCTCTATCAACAAGTAGAGTTTTTACTTTCTCATCGTAGTTTTCTCGATTCATGGCGACTGTTGACCGCCTCTTATCCGCGGGCAGTATGATAATATAGTCATCCGCTCTAAATTCTTAAATAGCTTTTGCCTCATTCTTCGACACACATTGGGTTGGCCAGTGTGTCCTCAGCAAGGAAGTGACCCGTTGTCGAACAGAGTGTTTCTCATCGTCTGTTGCTTAAGTTTTCGCAAGCATGGCCTCTACGGCTGCAATGAAATGGACAGGGTCGGCATCAGCGGTGTTACAACACGCTTCACGCTGGAGCACTCGTAGTTGCTGTTCCGTCAGTTGCTTGGAGGAGAGGTCATGTACCAAGTTTGAGCTTCCAGTGTTAGGTGATTGTAGCTTATTCAGCTTCCGATTCAAGATAACTCGCTTCTTGGCTTGTCTGAGATGCGCCAGCGCAGCGATTGTCTGAGCAAGGTCCTCAATGATGGAGTCGCCGAGAACGCGGGCACACTCTCTTTTGTTCTGATCAATTAAAGCCTTGCATTTGCGTAGACGCTGGTGGCAGTCATCGATTAGAGCAAATCCGATGAAATGGATGTGAATGATGATGTCACGCCAAAGGAAACCATCATTTTATCTCTGACGATGGACTCCAGAAAGAGCCCGAAAGCTCAGACAAGGAAAATTATGATTCCGGCGATCGAAACGCCTTCTACAGTGGACTTCCTATCTGATGAAACGTAGTGTGTTCACTAAAAAAATGTAATTTTGCGCGAAGTCCGCATCAGTAAAGTAATCATCATGAGTAAAAAAAGACATAACTTGGTAAAAAAATTACTATTTACTAACATATGAATAATTAAGTTACAAAAAAAACTCGAAATTAAGTAACTGGCGATATGAAAAGTCGCTGGTCCAATGTTAAATATAAATATTTTTTAGGCATGGGAGTGAAAAATAATGGCAAGTTAATACAGAATAAGTATGAACACAAAATTTTTATAGGTTTAATCGTTTCCATTAACATTTAAACTTGCATTAAATGTGTCAGAAATGGATGTGGTCACCTTAACTAAATTTCTATTCCAGATATGGAAACTTCATAAAAATGTCCGTTTTAATACAAGAAAAGATCCTTGCTGCTTTGTATTAATTTATATTGACAAGTTAAAAAAGATTTTCTGTGGTAATCATATCTCGGCTATTGAACAGAATAAAAAAAGATTGAAGGCCACACACGCATAGGCTGGCTGTTTACTAAAAAGTTAGATTACTTGTAATCAAATTCATAATATCTTGTAAATATTGAGAAAAAATTCCTTTCGTCTAATTACTTTGTAGCTATTTCGAGAGTTCGAATGCGAATGGCTTCAGATAGTTCTTGAATTTCTGTATAATAGTTTACGGATTTCAATGTTTTTATTTCTTCGACCCTAAGTACTGCCTTTGTTCTATCACTTTAATAGAAACTTCAAAATAAGATAGTTTTTAAAGCATTTACCTAAAAAATAAGTTTTTAAACATTCCTTTTTATGCAGTTGGCTGTTTGGGTTATGCTGTTATTATCACCAAAAGTCAAAAATGAATACTCCCTTGATTAAATAAAAGAACTTCCTATAACAAGTTGCTTCTTGAAAAAAGCGCTTTAATTAGATATTTTGGCGTCGAATATCTGTGTACATAATCTTTTTCGAAGATTAAGTCGAGATCAAAATGGGAAATTTTGACCAGTTTTTGGACTTTCCCGAAGATTAGGGATAAATCTTCCGCTGAGGATAAAAGAACACTTTTCTATGGATACTGGAGCATCTCTTCGTAAATATATTACGTCTAGGCCCATTCTTTGATTTCAAAAGCGCTGCAGAATAAGAAAATATGTCCTTCAACATTTCTGAAACCGATAATCTTCTGTCTGTTCTGCTTCAAGTTTTTATATTCATTGATTCTCTTTTGTATACTGAAAATATTTTGACGGAGTCCTTTTACGGTGTTACAAAGAAAATTTCGCGACATTTTATATATATGTTCGTAAAGGGCCACTATTTTCGGCGTAGTAAAGCAACTTGCGGTGCCACAAGTTTATTACTTGTTTTTATGGCACAAACATTAACAGATTTGCAAAACAATTTTGTAGACGGACTCTGCTATTCTTTTCCCGATAATAATGCGTTATCTCCTAATTGCCCTTACCTCAATTTCTGGAAGACAAAACAAAAATGTTCTGCTCACTGAACAGATATAATTAAAACCTTCCTGGTATTTATTAATATCCATTTATAGTACAACAGACACAAAAGGGGATTTTCGGTTCGCAGCGTTTAACAGCGTAGGAAATTCCTTGGATTTGGCTTAATTCTGCCCATAATTGCCCCCGGTCTACCGATCTGAACTGAACTCTTTTCTAGAAAACAGCAGTTTGCGCTTCAATTCAACTTAATGAAAAAAAAATTAATAAAAAATCACTCAAATTTTTATATTCAGCCTTCATCAGATATATATATATATATATTGCTAATAGAAGCGAAAATGCGTGTTCCCGGAC